CCAGGTAGCAAGGAAGCCTGGGAGGTGTAGTCCGTAGGGGTCAGAGTCCTGGGACACTGGGCAGAGCAAGAGGAAAGGGAGTGAGGAAAGGGACCAAAAGGAGAATAATCAGCACAGCAAGAATGCACTATCATCTGTTTAGTCTCTAACACGTGAGGGGAATCAGGCCGAGGGAGCCTGTCCCTCTTGTGTTGTTCCTCTCCAGTTTAATTGGTAATTGAGAGCTGGCACATAGTTAAGGCTCCAGCTCTTGTTTTCTGGGCATCTGCTTTTCCTCTCCGTAAGAGGCAAGGTGGGCTCAGAGGCAATGAGCCCCCAGGCTAATGTGAGTGAACTCCGGTATCAGTGCTGGTTCTGCCATCTTCACAACCATGAGATCATGAGCCAGCCACTGCCTCTCTCAGGGCCTCATTCTTTCCATCTGCAATATGGGAATGCAGATCTCTGTCCTGTTCATTGTGAGGCCAATAATAATGAAAACTACTAAACACAACATGTTTACATAGTTTTACATAGACTAACTCACTTAATCTTTATCACTTTGTGCGATTATTAGCACTATTGTACACATGAAGAGAATGAGGCACAGAGAGGTAAACTAACTGGCTTAAGGTCACAGAGCTTGTAGTGGCCTGCTGGAATTCACATCTAGACAGTCTGGCTCCAGAGTCACTCTCCTAACCACAGTGTTATTTGAAATGATTTATTTATAAAGGGCCCAACAGCCTGTGCTGTGTGTGCTTAGTCGCTCAGTCGTGTCTGATTCTTTGCAACCCCACGGACTGTAGCCTGTCAGGATCCTCTGTCCATGGGGATTCTCCAGGTGAAAATACTGGAGTGGGTTGCCATGCCCTCCAGGGGATCATTCCAACCTAGGGGTTGCACCCAGGTCTCCCGCATTGCAGGCAGATTCTTTACCCTCTGAGCCACTAGGGAAGTCCAAGAATGCTGAAGTGGATAGCCTATCCCTTCTCCACGGGATCTTCCCACCCCAGGAATCGAACTGGTGTCTCTTCTTTGCAGGCGGATTCTTTACTAGCTGGGCTATCACAGAAGTCTGTCCAACAGCCATTAGTAGGTGCTTAATAGTGGTGATGGTTGACAGCACTGTGTCAAGTGTTTGCACCTAAGGGACTGCTGGCTTGGTTCTACAGCCAGTCACTTTAGCCTCTGGATCTGAGACCTGACCATGGGCCAGCCTCCAGGGACACACCCTTGCAGGTGTCGGCCGGACGCTGCCCTATTCCTTACTCCTCTCCCAGGGCTGTTGAAAACTTCCAGATGAATTTGGAGTCTCTACTTTAGTCTTTCTTCCTACCCGACAACTGTGGTGGGCAACATGGAGCTACTGAAGGACATTTTCTTTTGTTTCAGCTTTGATGCTGGGGATTTTGCATATCATTATGTTCATGGCTAAGGCCCTGCCATTATCTTCCCCGGGATTCTTGCACAGTTTATGAATTTCCTTAAGGATCTGGCTGTCTCTCTGCTTGTACTTTCAGGATAGGCTGCTCCAAGCCACCCTCTGCTTTTTCTGGGATGGGGAAAGGATGTCTTCTTTGCCATTGTAATACTCATTGTAATACTCATCCTGATGTATGGGTCTTTGAGAATCAAGAATCAACCAGCAACCTGCTTACGTTTTTGTATATCTGTGTATGTGTGTGTTTGTGGCAGGGAGAGTGTGCTAAGAACAAAAAAAAACAGCTTTTCACAAAAATATTTAATATTTTAGTACTTTAGTTCTCAAATCCAAGGCTGATTGTTTGCTGAAAAAGTCTGAGTTTGCTGGTCTTTCATTAAGGACCATCCATAATAATATCATTTCCTTGGCTAACTCCATTCATGGGGTAAACACTTAACTGCTTAATTCATTATTGCTGAGCCTGAGACGGTAACAGATGCCTTTGGAACATAAGCCCCCACATCTAATAAGGCACAGGCTCACGATGTGCTTGGAATATGGTGGGGAGAGACGGCTGAAATTTATTTTGTGAATAAAGCAATAAGCCACTAAGCAAAGCTAATATGTTTCAGCTCAGACAGAAAGACACGATCATTCAGTATTTATGTAGCAACCTTTTCCTCAGTGGGACTGCAAGTTTCTACCATTAAAATTGTCGGAATTCTTCAGAGACCCACTGCATTAAGTCATTTAAAAATATCACAGACTTAAAACAATCTGAATTATTGGATTTTCTTGCTGCTCCTCGGTAAGCATGTTTGCTGTGGCAATTTCCTGCTCGGTCAAAGGTGCAGCCTACGTCAGTCAGGAAAGTAGAAAAGTTCCATGCAAAAAAAAAAAGAAAGAAAAGTTCCATGCAGAATTTTTATTTGGAAGTCCAATAGTCCCTAACAGTTGAGACAAAGTCAGACATAAATTTATTATTTTTTCTTTTAACTTTGTCTTTTGACATAATTTCAGATTTCCAGAAAGGTTGCAAAGAAATTGCCAAGAATTTCTGTGTACACTTCCTCTGGAGTCCTCAAATGTTAACATTTTGCAACATTTGCTATGTCATTCTTTCTATACAGATAAATTTCGATAAACAGATGCATATTGTTTTAGTCGGTACTGTTGGAGAGCTAGTTGCAGGCATGATGGTTTTCCCTTTACTCCTGAATACTTTAATATTCTCTCTGAAGGATATGTTGGTATATAGCCACAGTGCAATGATTAAAATCAGGAAATTAACATTGATACAATACTATTATCTAATCTGTTGGTTTATTCTAACTTTGCTATTGGCTCCAGTTAATGCACTTTCTAGTAAAAGAAAACCCCGGATCATATATTTTAATCTCTTGTCAAATCTTTTTTGCTTTCTTTAATCTAGAATACTTCCCCAGCCTGTGTGTTTTTCATGTGACATTGACATTTTTAAAGAGACTGGCTGTTTATTTCCTAGAATTATCCTTCCATTTGGGTTTATCTGATATTTCTTCACAATGAGATTCAGATTATGCACAAATACCACAGAAGTGGTGGTATATCCTTCTCCGTACATCATCTCAGGAGGTATATGATGTCAGTTCCATGACTGCAAAGTCAGATGTAAATTTACACTTGATCTTAACCAAAAGGCCAAAAAGAGATCAGATGTAAATTTAAAATAATCTTTCATCAAAACCTTGATTTGTTAAAAATTGCTTTGAAAGGTTTCACACTCACTCCAGATTTTCTACTACAGGTCTTTAAAAAACAAGACTCAAAGACAAGGAAGCTGCAAGCTTTACAGATGCTCAGGAGAAAATGTAGCCATTAAAAAAAATTGCCATGTGATAGTTATGAAATTTCCCTAAATTCATTTTGCAGAATGAGAGCTGTAATTTAAACGTGAAGTTATCGAGAGCTGAGATAAACCACACATCACGTGCAATTTAATCTGGCAAGGAAACAGGCCACTCGGAATTGCTAACTAGGCCTAATTCATTACATCTTGGTGAACGCTGTACTTCTGGTCTTATGAGTCTTCAACTTGTGCATTAATATATTTACCCAGGCCTTATGGAAAATGTATGGGGATAGTAACAGAAATACTGTATCCTTGTTTAAATCACATTACATTTTTTAAACAGCTCAAGTGATTGCTTAGAAAGATCACACCTTCTTCTGAAGCATTTATTAAACAATTATTTACATTACATTAAAAATTGTAATTGTCTTGAAGCACGTGTTCCAAGACACAAATATTGGAAAATCATCAAAAATATCCATCACGATTCTTTCTTCTTTACAACTCTTCTAAACTTTATCTTTTTTATAACCCTCTGTATTGATCTATTGTCCCAGACCAAGAGTGATGTCAGAAGTCCAAGCTGGGTCATAAAAAGAGAATATAATTTCCATTTGCTGTCTATAAAAGCAAATCTTTTGCTTTTATAGAAAAAGGAGGGGAAGGTCTCCTTTTTTGGGGGAAGTGGGGCAGAGGCTAGGGTAGGATTGGTAGGGGGACATGTCAGAAAGGGTGACTGCTGGGTCAGGAGAAGTGCTAGTTATGAAGGGGGTTGGGAGATCGGAGTTCCTCCTGGGTGGTGGGTGTAGGACCTTGGGAGGAGCCTGGGGACTTCTCCCTTGCAGAGGCAAGGTGATGGAAAAAATGTAAAAGAAATCTAGACATCCTGCTGTCCAGCGTCGGAGAAATTGCAGAAGACCAGAATTTCCCACCAGCTGGGTGAAAGACTCTCTCCCAAAAGACAATCATAATAAAGGAGGCCCATACTGGGAAGGAACCTGGGGTCCCCAGCTAGGCTAAGGACCCCGGAAAAATGATTGTAACAGTGGCAGAGACGTCTGTAGCTGTTAATTATCCAGAGCTAAGCTAGGCCCCCCTCAACATGTAACGGTAAAAGCGAACCCACTGTGGGGGAAGAAACCGTTCCAGAGGTTTTGCTAAGAACCCTCTCCAGTAATGGGAACAGTAAAACGACCTCCCATTCTAAAGTTGTCAAGAGCCCATGTTAACTGGACTAAAGGCTCCTGAAAATAGCAATAAGAATCTCTATCGCAGAGGACCCCCGGAAAGAACCCAGTGCTATGGCCAAGACACCGCCTCCCAATAATATAACTCTATAATGGCGTGGACCCTGCGCACGGCAGTGGTGACATTTCCGACAACTCAGTGGCGCCCCCGGGCGGCTGCCACCCGCCCACTGGCCGGCTCCCAACAACCCGCCCGCAGGGTAGTCTACGCAGCTCTAGCTGGCGGCTGCTACCCTCAGATGCGAAGCTTAGCTGGCTGGCGAAGGAGCGGCGGCAGCTCGAGGCACGTGTTGTGTGCTCCGATTGCAAAAAAAAAAAATGCATTGCAAACTATTAACTTTTTTTTTTAAGTATGCATTGCTGGGGATGGGGGATAGACAGGTGCGAGGCGAGGGTAGGCGCCCCACGCACCCGCAGCCTCCTGCCCCCGCAAACTTCCCTTTGCATTGATCAGCACGTTACGTCAGTATTGATAAGTTTGCAAAAAGCCAAAGTCAAGTGCAATCGCGCGGCACACCGACCCCGGACTTGGAGGGGGCGGGGGGGGGGGGAGATGCAGCGAGCGCTCCGCGGGCCCGGGAGCCGGCTGCAGGCAGGGCAGCGGCGGCGCCAGCGCCTCTCGGAGACGCTGCCTCCCCCCACTCCTCTCCTCCCACCCCATCCCCGGCCGCCTCCCCCGGGCGGGCGCCGAGCTCCCCGCCCCGCGCCCTCCTCCCGCGCCCTCCGGGGGTCGGGGGGGGCGCACGGCTCCCGGGCCCGGTGGCGGCGGCGCGGCGGCGCCGAGGGGCAGCGGGTGGCAGGAGGCCGGGGGGCGCCCGAGGGGCCCCGGGCGGTGGCGCGCAGGGCCCGGACTGCCGGCGGCGGCCCCGGGGCTGGGGGGAGTCCAGCCCGGATATTGAGTGCAGCCATTGAGAAAAGCCAAACTCTTGTGTGTGTGCGTCTCGAATAGCCCCCAAGATGGCCGCCAATGTGGGATCGATGTTTCAATATTGGAAGCGATTTGATCTACGGCGACTCCAGGTTAGTGCGGGCAGCACCGGCCGCGCGGCCGTGGGGAGCCCTCGGGCGCGCCCTGGGCGCACTGGGGAGGTCCCCGGGAGGGCGGTCGGGCGCCCTGGGGAGGCGGGCGGCGGCTGCTGGGGCTCGCCGGGGCTCGACTGCCCGCTGCCTATCGATAGGTATTAGGAATTGATCTCGCCGCTGCTCTTTGTTCGGTTCAATCATCGATTAGCCGCTGCGACCGTGGAGAAGCGCTAGTGAGCCCATGGCCCGGGGAGCGAGCCGGCGGGTGAGCGGCGGAGTGAGGCGCGAGGAAGGCAGGGTCTGCGGTCCCAGGCAGGGGGCTGCCGGCGGGACCCCGGGCAACCCCCCTTGCGCCGCACTTTGCGCGCCTCCCAACTTCGCGGCGCCCGGGGAGGCCACGAAGCGCGCCGCGTGCCTGTCCGCGCCCGGCTGGGGCTCGGGCGAGGGAGGGAGGGAGCTGGCGGGCTGGGAGGAGGAGGAGGAGTGGGGGGGAGGCATCCGGGGTTGGCTAGGAGGCGGCTCCGCGCCCCGCCGCCCGCCAGCACCTCCGCCGCCGCCGCCCGCCTCGCTGCGCAGCCCGGACGCGCCGCCACCCGGGGGCCGCTGCTGCCGCCCCAGCCGCTGCAGCCACCGCCTCCGGACTGGCCGCCTGCACCGGCAGACCTCTCCTCGGGCCGGGTTCTCGGGGTTCGTTTTTGCCTCTTGCTTTATCGCCCTTGCCAACCTCTTTCCAAGTCTAGGTGGGGACGGGCGGTGGAGATGGGCCCGGGGCGCGCGCAAGTTTGCGCTCCTGCCTCAGGGGCCTTGGAGAGCCGGGAGCTGCGCAGAGCAGGTGACTTCGGGCTCTCGGGCCCACTGGAACTTTTAAATGGGAGATTCCCTCGCTGTTTTCTGCCTCCTGCTTTTCCTCTCCGCCACTCCTCTCTTTTCTCCTCTCGCTAGTCTTTTCTTTCTCTTTTCCCTCTCCCTCCCTGGGGCGACTCCCTTCCAAACTCCAGCACTTTATCCCCGTTCCACCTTTTTTCTGGGAGTCTGTGTGTCTCCTCCAGATTTGGGGGTTATTCTTTGCTGACCCAATAGGAGACTGGGCCGCGGGGTGGAATCTCACAGAGAGCTGTGCGCAGGAGGCACAACACTAGCCTCGGTCCTTTGCCAGGTGCCCCAGGATGCTCCTGACAAGCCCCCAAACCCAGGAATCTCACCGAGGTGCGGTGGGAACAAGGGGCGGGGAAGTGGTGCTGGTTACCGGGCGATGAAAGCATCCTGCCTTGGCCTTGACATTCTTGGAAGAAGGGAGAGCATCAGTCTGGAGATAAAAAGGGACCCCCCCCCCTTTTTTTAATCCGCCTGCAAATCTCGTTAAGTTTCTTCTGATAAGTGGTTCCAGTGCCCCCCTCCTCCTGGTGGCTTCCCAACCCCCCTCCTTTCTAACCCCTCACTCCCCGCAGGCCCCCTCCTTCAAAGCCAGTGAGCTGGAGAGAAAATCGGGGCACTCAGGCATGCAGTTAATAACTGCAAGTGCCTTGCAATTCCAGGTCCTCACTCGAGTTGGGGCTACAGTTTGGTGGCCATCTGAGGCGGGCAGGGCTGTGAGCTGTGGTTGCTGTTTTAAATGATGCTAAAGTGGCCTTTCTGGAAGAGTGGGGGATGGGGGAGAGAGAGAGAGAATGGGAGAGAGAGAGTTGGGCAGCCACATTGGGCTTGGCACGAAGGCCAATGGTAATCGTATTCCCTGCTAATGTTTGTAAATGAGACCCGGGCACGGCTGGGGGACAGCGTCTTTATTTATGATTGATGTTCTGTAACATAAGGAATGACAAGAACGTGGCAGACAAGAGGAGAGGAACCAGAAGGGCTGGCGAAAGCCCTTTGCAGGGTCCTATTGTTATTCTGGGCTGGAGAAAATTTCCGCGGCGAGATTTACAGCGCTGGTATTTGCTCCCGGTCGGCCGGAATGTCAGTTAACACAATTTTCATTAGATAACTCGTTTTCAATCCGGGGAGCTTGGGCTGCAACTGGGAGGTGGAGTGAGACCTGGGCTGGGTGCTGAGGGGTGGGTGCGGCTCCCAGGGGGCTGATTTCTGAGCTGGAGTGGAGGGGGTGTTGAACCTCAAGTCTCTCCTGTCTCAGGCTCAGGGGTCTTTTGTGGAGCGGTTGAGGTCACCCAGATCTTGATTCCAGTTGGACTCCCATTGATCTGGGAACCCTTTGTTAGGGTTTTAGAAGATGCTGAGGTGAAAAAGCAAATTTGAACTGGAAAGGATGAAGATGGGGGTGGTGGAAAGCCTTGTTCAGGTGATGGGAAAATAGAGCCAGGACCTCTCCCGGCACAGGAGGTATACTTAGGGTGCAGGAGGGAGGGATATGTTCATTAAAACAATGGCTGGTGTGTTTGGCACAAAAGGAGAGGGCTCTGGGAAAAGGGTTAAGCTCATTTACATGGATATTAAGTGGGGGGTGTCCCTTTGGGAGTTTGCAAAGCTGTACACTTTAAGAGAAGAGAGTTACATGTGGCAGCAGTGTACAGATATTGAGGCCCTCACATCTGCCGTGGTCTCCACCCTTGTCCTGAAAGGTTCAGGTTTTCCCCTGCCCAACAGGCCTGCACCCCCCACCCAGCCCCATATTCTCACTGATGGCATTTTTGTTGGAAACGGATTATGAGCCTAAGCACTTTCGCCTGGGATCATCTCTTGTGCATAATGCTAATGACTCCTATGCCACACTTTTATTTTCATTTTTTTCCCTTCCCACTTTCCATTTACAGGGGAGATAGCGAGAAAGGAAAACTTCAGCTGGCTCGTTCCAAGATCTGGGTAGGAAAGGTGAGCCCCCACTTCAGGCCCCGTGCAGGCCAAGAGCTTTGGGCTCACTTGTCCCGTGGCCCCGGATGTTTGTGAGTGTGAGGAGGTGTGTATAGCTTCACTTCCGTGGTTTCATACAACCTGGTTGCTGAGCGTTGAAGTGGCCAAGGCAGCAAAGCCCGCCCGTGTCCCCAGGCCAGACCATGCTACCAAGGCCACTCCGATACTGGCAAGAAAGGTGACCTTGTACTGGCCCGTGCACAGCCCTCTGGAAGTACCTATTTTTCAAATTGGAAGTGGTCTGGTTATTATTCCTTCCAGTGCCATCTCTGGACACAGTGGGGCTGTTTTCCTAGGATGGAAGTCTGTCAGCAGTCTTAATGATGGTGAAGATGCTGTGACATTTGCTACCCTGCTCCAGGATCCCTGAAACTGCTTCCCCCTGTCTTTGCTGCTGCTTTTTCTCTCGGCTGCTAGCAGTCCAGGAAACGAGAAGAAATAAAATTCTATCCCAAAGTTAATGCTAGGCATATTTCATTTGGTTATAAGATTGCTTTATGGTGAACATTACTAATGCAGTATTTTTTTATGGCTTTTCTGTGTATAGTCGTCGTAACCGGATTCATACCTTTATGATTTTCTTTTTCTGCTTTACTTTGCCACTTTTTAAAATGATGCTCTGGGCCCAGTCTCTTGTGATATATATATATTTTTTCCTTCAAAGAGTGTTAATCAAGCTAACAAGAGTTGGTGCTCAGTCTGAATGCACATCTGTTTCTTGGGAGGAAAGAGGTTGGCTGGAGGGATCACACTGCACAAACTTGGGTGGAAAAGGCAAATTCTGCTTGGGGCGCAAGCCTTTAGGAAGGAAAACTGATGGGTCCTCAAACGAGATAAGCTGGACTTTTTGTAAGGAGTTTTGGAGAAACTTCTAGGAAGGCTCAATTTCTTGGCGTACGGGAGATGGGACTTGATGGAATGTTTTTCTCAGCTCAAAGTTTAGAAAAGAGCATGGATGTGATTAAAATATTATAACCTTATGATATTCTGAAGTGCATAAATTTTACATATCAGCCACAGAGAGTTTAGACATCCATTAGAGCCTCTGACAGCTTGACTTATCTAAATGTGCTATCATTTAACAATGTGTCAAAATTCCTCTTTCTTTAGATGACAGCAGTAAATAAGCTATCAGCTCTGTTGGCGGAATCCTAACTTTGGAAACTTCGCTGTAATAGAATTGCTGCTGGGGTGGGGAGCATGAGCAGGCCAGGCTTGGTGTGGCCCAGGCCCAGGCCCATGAGATGGACTGGCATTAGGGTGAAGGCTGTGGGAGTGGGAGCGGGAGGAGAGGGAGCTGCGGGAGACAGAAGGGATGAGGGGAGATTTCTAGCAGCAGCTCTGTGAATACGACCAAACCATTGACCAGCCCCCTGGACCCTTCCAAGTCCAGCCAGTGGGTGACCCCATTCCATCTGCCTCTCCAGTTCATTGCAAGCCACACCCTGTGAGCCTATTTTGCAGAAGGAGCTAGAAACAGGTGTTGAGAATTTATATAAAGAACCCAGCAGTCTTTTCTGGGCATCCCAAAATTCTGAATTTCTCAACTCGACAGAAATTGCTTCCCAAAGATGGGCCTCTCTTTGAATGCTGGAAGAAAAATGAGCAACGTCTTATCCTTGACCGCTTTTGCTGTTGGAGGTCTCGAAGTTTCTTTTATTAATACCTGAATTCGCTGTAGAAAATTGGGAAACCACGGACAAGCCTAAAGAAGCAAATAAGCGTCTCGGTGGGTTATTTCAGATGAGCACGGTGCTATTTTGACCAGAGGGAACAGCTTTTCTGATGGTGGTGGTGCTTTTTTTTCTTTCCTTTTTCTTTATTTCTTTCTTCTTTTTTTAAACTCTTCTGTTAAAGGGAGGATTCTGTCTTCGAACTTGACATTCTGTTGTGGTAACCTTTCTTCCGTCAGATAGAATTTCAAACGTGAGCACCCCAGCTGGTGCTAAATTTGATCCTGGATGATGGTGGAGGTGGCTGTACAAAAACTATGGTTTTCTCTGTTGCTTTCTGAAAGGGCTGAATTTCTGGTGGCATCCTGTTATCTAACTCAGACTGAGCCTGGCAGAGGTTGAGTGTGGGAAGGGGACTGAGGTAGTGGCCTGCCTTTGTTTCTGGCTTAGGAAATCAGAGTTCGGTCTTCTGTTTGATTTTTCTGTCTGGGGGAATGCTCTTTCTTAATGACAGTGGCTTATATCAAAGGTGTCAGGGAAGGTGGAAGTAGTAGGCAGAGGGGAAGGCCCCAAGAGCAGCTAAGAAGTACAGTCTCTAGCACCCCTGGGTGAATCCCCTAACATTCCAAGTCTCCCATTTCTTAATCCATCACATAGACTGGTTGTGCTCATCTGGTTTGCTCTACTCCAGTTGCTGTGAAGGGAAGGATGCTGACATACTTGGTGTGCTAGTTAAATGTATTGCCTTTTCATGACCTCGGGGCCCATTTTGGCAGTGATGAGGAGCCATTGGCCTCTTAAGCAGAATTTTGAGACAAAAAAAATCATGTCTGGAATGGAGTTCTTGGTTTCTAAGCCTTGAGGATCCCTTCAGAAAATGGTTTGTAGTGTTTTGTAGGATATGAACAATCAATTCCTATCATACTTAATTTAAAAATCCTGAGTCCTCTCCCCTGATTGTAAGACTCCGGGTAGTCGAGCCCTCCACCTCCCCACCGTTATCCTTCTGACTTCATCTCCAGCGTCTCTCCTGTACTTGCTCTGTTCTAGTCACAGTGGTCTTTTGGTCCCTCAGACTCGTCAAGCACATTCTTACCTCAGAGACTTTGCACTTGCAATTCCCTCTGCCTGGGCCTCTTTTTCTCCTGGTCTTCCCATAGCTGGCTCCTTTTCATTTGGTCTCACCTCAAACACCTGAAGACACTTCCACTACCCTTGAGTGTGCAAATATGCTTCCTCCTCTTTAAGGCTGGTATTTTTCGACCTCATGACTTTCTCAGGGGTGGCTTCTCTG